TTATGAAGTGCACGTGGTTATTCCTAACAGGGGGGGGGGGGGGGGCGGGTGCCGGTAACTGCGCCAGATGTCATTAAAGAGAATTCAATACACCCCATTAATCAAATTAAGTCTGAGAATCTCAATCCATTTATTTACAAATAATTCAAATATTTTGCCGGGAAAGCCAGATATTAAAAATATTGTTTTTATCTAATTTTGGAGTTATATAAAAATTATTATCCACCCAATAAGTCACATAAAACCAGTGGTATATTTTAATCTCTTGCATTACCTCCATCGATCACGGAGATCATTTAAAGTGAATCCAAGAACAGTTTCTCAATATAAAATCGTTTAACATTTTATTCTTGGTTAGTATTCACTATAATTAATATATCTATTGCTTACAACATGAATGTAATTGTAGCATGATCAGACAAATAATCTATTGGTCAATATTTGCCGAATAATTGGTCAATAATTACATATCACAAAATTGATGTGCATTTTTAAAATTTCCTTAACAAATAATGATAAATGTATTTTTCTGTGAGACGTGTAAAGTAGTAACATATTTATAGACTATACGCTATTTGATATGAATATTCATTTGTTGTATTTCGATACCATTACGTCATCTTTTTTCGTACGCCTGTCCGGCATGCATTTCGAGCAGTTTGTACGTTTCTATCGGTAGCGTATGAAGGTGTTAGGCCGGATGAACATAAATAAACATGAAATATGAGGTCACGTGACGTCATCTGCGACTGCGGTACAGTTGTTAAAGGGAAAGTCCACCCCCAAAATAAGTTTGTTTCGATAGAGGCAGAATAATAAGAAAATCAGGTGAGTGAAAGTTTGAGCAAATTCTGAATGAAAATAAGAAAGTTATGAATTATTGAAGTTGTGATCAATCAAACACAAATTGGCAACTCTATGACGTATCATGCGAGCTCAACTTCCATTTGCTCAGTACTAAAAAAATCTAAAATTTTCATTTTCCCTCAAGAAAAATTTCAACCATACATGCACCCTAAATATAATAATTGCAAATATGTTTCTATACTCCCCCTGCAAGGAACAAATATATATTCCGTCATCAATAACGAAGAAAACATGATTTTATGGAATATTATGCACAAAGCAAATGAAGGAGAGCTCGTATAATAAGTCACAGAGTTGCCAATTTGTATTTGATTGATCACAACTTCAATAATTCATAGCTTTCTTATTTTCATTCAGAATTTGCTCAAACTTTCACTCACCTGATTTTCTTATTATTCTGCCTCTATCGAAACAAACTTATTTTGGGGGTGGACTTTCCCTTTAATGTAGCAGCCCTATGTTACCGATACTTTTCGTCATATGTTTCATTTTCTAGAACTTCAGTCAGTGTTCTCGCTCCAGTATTGTACAATCTTATATAACCAAAGATACTATTGAACAGTGAATGACTTCATAATATGAATTTATAGAATTGATGATAGATATGATTCTATTGACATATTATAGAGGTACAAAATCTAATGACAACCTTGCTCTTAATAATAAACTAGATGATATTTTTGTAGAGAGAAAGACATGTACAAAGTTCTTTGGTGTCTATATCAATAAAAAAAACTTGACTGGAGCGACCATGTAAAACACACCGTTACATCAGTCTCCAGAAATATTGGCAAACTGTATACAGTAGAATTTTTTTTTTTTTTCTGATATAATATTAGTTATGCATTATGCTATATAATAGTCTAATTTTACCACATAAATCCTATTGTAATATTTTGTGGGCAACATCCAAGTGTGTGACTAATAATATTATTTTGCTGCAAAAGAAAGCAGTACGCTATTTTATACCCGAGTTTGTTATCGTGACCATGCTACCCCATCATTTGTTACACTGAAATGCTACTTACTTCCTCCAAATTTCCATATTTATGTCCCGGGGGTATTAGTCATGTAGAAATACTGCAAGCAAGCGTGACCACAGGTCATCCAGACACCCCCTAAACGAGGCTCTTTACAGATAAAGACCAGTTTTGGAAACGCCCCCCCCCCCCCTCTCGAAAAATGAAATGGAAGCTCTTATTACCAATCATGACTGTGAAAGAATATGTTTTGACTAATACGTGATCATACAAATTTTGCCGAGAAACCGCCTACTAATTGATATATTTGGTAAATTATTATATCTATTTGGACCTGATAGATATAACACACGTGTCGCGCACGTGTTCGTAGTTCCATAAACATCTTTTTGTGTACAGTGCTTGTAACTTTACCAAGACTGGGCCAAATTTCTTATCATTTGATGATTCCAGAACCTTGGAGTACACACTGGTCAATACTTAGCCTATATGCTAGATGATCAACCTTTTCTGATCAATTCCACAACGCTTCTTTCACAATGCAATCGCATGACCATAACTGGTCTTTATCTTATCGCTTACTCACTACCGCCCCCCAAACAAGATTCTAGCTACGTGCCTGCAGTTAAATATATAGCTCAAGCCCGTACAAGCGTTTAAGGAATGGGGGTTCTTATAGGGTTGCCACTTTTGAGGGGTGTAATGAGCACTTAATTTTTTTTTCGTGAGAAATTTTTTATCGGCGAATAAGCCGGCGAATAAGCGGGGAAGGGGGAGGGGTGTGGGGGAGGTGGGTGGTGAGCACTAAATAAAAAATCAACAACCCCCCCCCCCCCAAAAAAAAATAAAAAATAAAAAATAAATAAAAAAAATCAAAAAAAATCGAACCCCTAGTTTGTACGGGAGTGTAGCTACGATGCTGACTAAGTTAACGAAATAAATCGTTATATATTTATGTCATCGAGGAAAATGACCATGTGCGCATATACGCAAGTACTATACAGTGCGTCCCAGAAAAAACGAAACCGAGAATTAATCACAATTATAATTAATAAATGACACATATTTGTAAAGCTTAGATCCTCCTCTTTCATTTGATGCAACTCATAATGATGCATATTTCACGAACGAGTGATTAAAAACGAATTGAAGAGAGGGTACCAAAAAGTCATTTGGAGGGCGTTATCTGAATTTTAAAGAGAAAAATCACATTTCTAGAAATTTTATTTTCTGCCCTTTCATACGTAACCTCAATCAGGAATAACACATTTCTGTTTGTTTAAATTAATGCTTGCATTTCCATAATTTGATGAAACGAATTGGTTTTAACTGGTTGCCTGCCATAGCAACGAACAGACTTGACAAAAGATTTAACTCCGTTTCGTTGACAATCAGCCATGCACAAAGAGGACGAAAGAGCCCCCAGAAGCTAAGAGATTTTAGGCATAAAACTTTTATCAGATTAGCATCCAGGGGACCGCCTTAGGGCCCTAGATGGGGCCCAGGGGCAAAGCCACCGGATGTCCAGGGTTTTTAGGCATTTAATTACGGTCAGATAAACATTTTTTGATGCCTTATTTGTGACACTGGCAGGACACTTATTGGCGTGGGGTCCAGGTGGCAGAGCCCCCAGAAGCTCAAGGGTCTTAGGCATTACATTACCTTCAAATGAATATCCAGGGGCCGCCTTAGGGCCTTAGGTGGAATGCCTCCGGAAGCTCAGGGGTTTGAGGCATGCAATCACGGCCAGATGAGCATATTTCGATACCTCATTATTTTGTGACACTGGCAGGTCACTACTTTCTTTCTTTCTTTCTTTCTCTCTTTTTTTTTTTTTTGGGGGGGGGGGGGGGGGGCTCGAGGCCCTTGAGCTCCGCCGTTCCGCGGACCCTGACACGTAGGCCTCTAAAAAGGGCATAAATCTTGCCCGACTGTATTTTTTTTTGGGGGGGGGGGGGACTGCAACCCCCCCCCCCCCCCCTTCCCTATCATTACGCCATGGGCCAAAGATCTACCCTTGTTGGCGGGGAAAATCGCAACTGACCTCCCTTACCTTTTTTTTTTCTTCCTTTTTTTGTTGTTCGCTTTTAGCTCTCCTCTCTCCCGTTCCCTCCCTTCTTTTTTTTCGGAGGGGCCCAACAATTTCTGTCTGCAACAATCAAGAACATGAACCGACTTTTTCACAAAATTTAGAATTTTAGAAATAAAAATTCTTTCTTAGCGTTTGACGAATAATCCCAGATTCCCGTATGATAACAAATGGAGCCAAGTGAAGAAAACAAAATGAATCGATGAACTGGTATAACAGGAGTCAAATTTAGAACATGAGGAATAATAATAAATAATAATAATAATAATAACGTTATTCATATAAAGCGCCTACCACCGAAGTCTCTAAGCGCTATGAAAACCGAACCCTACCTATCGCCATAGTAAGGAGTGCAAGATTGGGCAATGAGATGCGGGGTATGCCGACATGTTTTAATTGAGTTAGGAAATAAAATTATTTGAATTGAATTGAATTGAATGACAATACGCTATCGAAGACTCGAATAATATCACAATCCCCAAACGACCGAACATAAATCGCAGAGAGATTTATTTTTAATTTTTAAAGATAACCACATACATGTAGAATGATTAAAAAAATAAAAATATTGTGGCTGCCATCAAAGCTGAATCACGAGGCATTCTCGCACTTCCATCCTCAATATTACACACACTGAGCTTAAATGTGCTAAGTATTACTTTGATATTTATACAAAATTCATAATTTTTTTAATGTTTCCCCTCTTGCTACAGAGATATACGGCATGTACAGGCCATGTTGAGAGAGTGAGTGAGCCTCAGTCTCTTGAAATTCGTTTAAAGGGAACCGAAACATTCATATAAATTTACGTTTATTGTAAAGTTTTAAAGATTTGAATACAATCAGTGAAAGTTTGAACAAAATCGGGCAGGGAATAGGGAAGTTAAAGCTTTTTGAAATAACTTGTCACTAGAAATCCTCATTGGATTTACGGCACAGCGCCATCTCAAAACTTTTTGTTTACCCCCCCCCCCCCTCCCCCCTCGGCCTCCTCCAATCCCTTGTTGACATTAATAACTCCCTGGATTTTGTGCATGTATGCATGTTACATTGTGTATGCTGGCTAGTACAGTGCAGCGATATAGGTCTATACCGCTGTGGTATAGTCATAGACAATGTGCACTTTCATGTTTCAACTGGGCTCACAGGTCACACTCACAGAACCAGTAACATTTTAAATGGATAATTAACTCCTTGTGACAATTTCTTCTCTTTGGATATGGAGTAGCACAACAAAATTCGCCTTCAATTCACACAGCTGCTGCACCGGGACTCGACCGAATCGCACGAGACTTCCCACCCTCGTCTAGCGGCCTGCGGTGTGGTGCTTCGCCGCTAACTAGCCCGCAGCTGTTTGTATAGTAGGGGCAGTTGCATGCGAGTCTCCACATCGCCGACATAGATACGGTTAGTTAATTTTGTGTATATGTTGAGTGGGTGCACCGTTTATACTCTGATGTAATGATTGAGACTAGTTTTGTAGAATTTTGAATAACAGTTGATCTGATTCTGAATCTGACTGAGAAGTAAGATTGAAAAATCAGACAAAGACAAAGACAGGTCAGGGGTGATGTCTGATTGATAAATCTGGTGTTTTTTTCAGTTCGACCGACTGTTACATATTTTAGAAGATTTAAACAGCAAAGACCACTCCAGCAAAGCATAGAGAGTCAATGCTAATGCGTATTGACCTCTAGCACTGCATACTTGCTGTGAGGCAGGTATTATTAGACCTATACACAAAATACATAATACACCAACTGACTGCACTGCACAAGAGCACCTTTCCAGACATTTCAACCTTGACGTTATATCCTGACTGATGGATCCTGTCAAGTACAGACGTAGAAGTAGAAGTATACACACCACACAATACTGCATTGACTGCAAACAATCATGGCTCATGCCAATGCGGCTGTAAGCAAAGTTTGACAGTAGACTTACAATTTGAATTTTTAAAATATTCTTTTTAACATCAGTAAGTTGAAAAAAATGTATATTACTGCTATTTAGGTGTCATCAATTGTCACTAAAGTACCGATTTTGAGTGAAATCAGTTGAGTTTTGTACAGTGGTGTTTGAAATGTTGAGAATCAAAAACACAGCTGTTACTACACAGCCAGGATAGTGATGCTCCTATGTGTGGCAAAGACCACAGTCAATCGGATTTCAGTAATTTGTATGATGTCTGAGATAATGTGGAAACAATCGATTGATACTCAATGCAAATTCAACTCAACATGCTCAACGCAGCAGAAGTGGTGCTTAAAATAAATAAAAAAATGTTACTTATAAAGCGTTTAAGACATAGTCTAGTAGACAAGATGATAACATTTTGCTTTTGATTGACCCACAGGTGCAGGTTCTGTGCTAGATGTAACGTGCAATGTCGGTCAAGATGCATCATGCAAGCACAATGTGTTGGCGATACCACCGCAAGATAACGGCTACCATCATCGTCTTCTCAGCGCTCTATTTCTTTGTGTCCATCACATTAACAAAAAAGAACTTATCCAACGAGGGTGTACAGGGTTCAAATCTTGAGACATTCCATGAAAGGAAAGGGGTGCGTGAGAGGGGTGAAGAGCACCACCAGGGAAAGAATCCATCTCGGAAGATCCATCGAATACCCCACAATGCCCTCCCAGCAGAGGGCATCAAGGGCCTGGCCAAGGGAGCTCAGCGGGGTCAAGTAAAGCAGAAGGAGGAGGAGTTCTCAAGCAGTTCAACGTCTAGTTCAGCCGATAGTCCAGGGCACAAACAGAGTGATGCCAAGGTTAGTCAAATCATTTAGAATCAAAAGCAAGCACTGTTGCTTTTTAATTTTTATTCTTATATCACAACCCTTGTTGGAGTGTTTTTGTTTTTGTTTTTTGTTGTTGAAGATAATGTATTTTCCCAAAATTGAAGGGCAGTAGAGCTACACTGTACAGGGTCACTTTCATTTGAATAATTTAGTTAAACTTAGATTTACTAAATTTAGTTAAAATTGAGTTAAAATTTGCACTGTTTACAATAAATCAGAATGACAGATATTTCCTTATTGAACTGAGTAGCATTGAAATAAATGACTTGAGCCTTGAGAGCTCTAGAGAGCTCTGGAAAAAAAAAAAAACTAATACCCCCTCCCCCTCCCCCCCCCAAAGGCTCTGATGAAGAAAGAAGAAAGAAACAAAAACATACAACCAAGTTCTCACATGAGGTAAATCTCGAAGTAGCTCCCAGACAATGAAACATATTTTTGAACTGCTGTGTAGCCAATAATACATGCACTTATTCATATGGAGGCATATTGTACAAAACGTAGTACAATGGAGTATGATTGAATGGATCAACTAATGGCTGTAAACATGGCATTGTGGTGTATGTACATGACTGTATCATGCAATGTATTCCATTCTGTAACTACTGCATGTTGTATTTATCCTCTGGAGTCGGTATCATTGTTTTATAACGTGTGTGCAGTTCCCCAAATAATACTACAGTGAGTCTACTCATAGTCTGATCAGGATCCATTCCAACTCCCTGAGGGGTGTTTCACAAAACTTGTCATCAGTGACAAATGAAAGTTTTTGTTATAAGCTACTGAAATCCTTGCTTCTGATTGGTTATCAGCAGACTGGTTACTGATTTTTGTCATTTTTTCATTGAAAAAAAGGATTTGTGAAATGGGACCCTGGTCTGTTATACCGGTAGCCATATATGTACCAATTGAAAAAATAAGTAGATATGGGGGAGAAGGGGGGGGGGGGAGGGGGTTGTGGGCAATTTGTTTTTTCATACTCCTTTTAAGTCATTTACAAGACACCTGATAGTTAGCTTTTAAAACCATATTGAGTTGGTCAAGGCTTCATTACAGCATCTTTGATTGCCTAATTTGTCTTTTAATTGAGTCTTCTTGTTCAGCTGGTCTAATTGAAAGAGAGCTATTACCTTGTGATTTCAAATAATGGCAGAAGAAACTGAAAGCCAATAGTATAGTACTATGCTCAAAGAGGATTAGTGGACTAGAGTATTGATTATGTGGTGTCTCACAGTCCCAGTGGTTAACAAAAAGCAGTACTAAAGCTCAGTTGTACAAAACTTCAAAAGTAGGCCTTTTAAAGTTTTAAGATTATCTATCACCTAAAAAATAATTTTTGCACATGTAGAATACCCAGCAATCTACATGTACAAGTTAATAAAGAATAACATAAACCCTGGAAATGGACTAGTCAACTCAACAAGTTGCTGTTATATTGAGTGTATTTATACGTGCAATATTATACATATTGAAGTAACAGTTGAAGCTAATATTGTACACTGTAGTAGTAAAGCCACATGGAACCCTCAACATGGAGAGCAAAAATAAGTGCAAAAACAGAAACTTTTTGGTTTGAAATATGAAAAACCATCAAGTGCAAATAAGGATAGTCAACTGCAAATGTACATTTCTATCAAACCATTGGACCAGATGGGATGGGACATGTTAAAGTGATATTAAAGAATAGTAGCTGCATGTCTTGTTCACATTTAAAGATAGAACAAGAATGCTTAGCATGGCTTCCAACGAAAACTGCTTTTTCATATTCCCTTTGACATAGAGAAACGGGGTAGCTTCCATGGCTACTAGAAAAAAAAAGAAGAAACATTTGCAGATGAAGCAGTTTTCATGATTCCAAACCATCCATCTGTCACTGCCCAGATGTGGTGTGTGTTTGTGTTTAGAAGCCATGTTTATAAGCTGACCTGACTGATACCATAAAGCCTGTCATGGATGTTATCACCCCCTACTCGGTGTGAGGTTGGTTGCGGTTTCAAAATTAACTTCCCTGTTTCAAGTGTACCAATGAAGAAACCCACTTTGCCCGGATGTTAAAGGTTCCATGTCGCTATACATAATACTATACTCAAAATATTAGCTTCAAATGTAAAAGAGGTATTACAAATATTTTGTACACTCAAATTTAGTTACCCTCACTTTTCTCACTTTTAATCGTTAGCCAAGATATTTCCTGTTCAAGTTCAAGTTTATTTCAGGTTAATTTTATACTTTATAACTGTAACCAAAATCACAAATTATTTTGATTGGTACATTTTAAACTTTAAAGGTAGCCAAAAGTAAAAAAAAAAAATATATATATATTGATTTTCTTTCTCAATCAGCCAAGTAAGAAGTTTCCTCAAGCTATCATCATCGGCGTGAAGAAAGGTGGTACGAGGGCGCTTCTCAAGTTTATCTCCTTACATCCTGACGTAGCAGCAGCTAAACAGGAGATGCACTTCTTTGATCGATACTATGATAAAGGGCTTGAGTGGTACAGGTAAGAATGCAATTTGTTATGGAAATCATTGAAATTGCGAGAGAGACAATTTTCCGGTTACTTCTAGCCTTCTAGACCTTACAAGTAGGTCCACATGTGGGATGGTGATATGAGTAAGCAGAAGAGAAGTGTAATGAATATGTTGTCCTGTCAAATACATGCTTGTTGCAATCATTGAATCATCAATTAATCAATCAATCAGTCAATCAATCAATCAATTAATCAACCAAACCATCAATCAATCATTTCGTTCTGTTTGCTATAGAAACAGGCTTCCATATTTGTAGAGTTCCAGCAGTAAAAGCATACATGAACATGTAGATGTATACAAGTTCAAGTATTTCACTTGAAGTCTAAGATGGTGATGAACAAGAAATACAGAGAAGTGTGTGCATTGTAGTGTGGGTCATCCATCCATTCAGAACATCAGAGGTAATATTGGAGCGCCTTGAGGACCTTGCATGATATCCAGTATTAATAATAATATTATTATTTTCACTGTAGGCAATTTGGATTGTCATTGTATCAAATGGACTTTGATTATAGAATACAAATGAACATAACCGCATATATTCAAAATATTATTAGAAAGAGATAGCATCACCGATAATGGTTGTGGCCAAACTCACATTCAAGCCCAGTAGCCCTATACACACTTGTTATAGAGGAAAGACGAGCCGAGATGACAAACTACTTTTGATAAGATCTCTTGAAAGCAGATTGTGGTCTATCAGATCTTCTGTGCATTCAGGCAGGTGCAAGCATGCTCCTCCTTATGGTGGTATACATGTATCTCAGCTTCTCTAATAATCCCTCTTGTATTTCCCCAGGCTGTTTTTATGATTCTACCCTAGCCAAAAGTCAAATCTCCTGAAAATATGAAAAGAGTTCATAAAAACACCAAGGTCGAGTTCTAATGAGATTCGCAGATTCGAGTTGGTCTTGTTTTTTCGCTTTTGTAGATGGAGTGCGTGGTTGGATGAGCATGGCTGATTTTCTACTATGCAGACTTGACTTAACTGTGAGCTGTTAATTTGAATGAACGGATTTGTTATTTTAAATCCCATAGGGTACAAGAGATGATGACGTAATAGATTATGAGTATTAAGATGGAACGATGTAGAGTGGAGGTTCTCAAAATGTTCTCCTTGAAGTTCCAGATATGATTTCTATGAAAGTTATGATGTCCTAAACATGGGATGCCATTCGCCTGAAAATTCTTATGGTTGATCATATACTTAAGTAGAACCATGGACCTAACACAAATGAAAGCGGGCAAAACTCAAACAATATTACTCCATTTTGTTTCAGACTTATGGGCGTTGCAAGAAAGTTGCGTCGCAATCAATTGCAAATATCAGTTGCGAAATTTGCAACTGATATACAATGAGGCTTGTTCTACAATGTAGGTCCATATCTGATCTAACTTCTAAGGAGAATTGTTCCAGTAAAACAAAGATTGGCCTGCCCTATTGTCCGGATGTGGACCAAGGTCTGGGAGAGGCCCTGATGTAGAAAAAGAGAGATACAGAGGATAGTTTGTCAATATAATTTCAGGATTTATTAAATTTAAGAAAAAATAATGTAAGTAGCTTATACTTTTTTAATTAAAAATGTATTTTCCTCACCAATAGGAATTATTGATTGTTCAAATAAATTACATTCTAGAGTCTTCATAATAATATTTATTTAGAATTTTTATAAAAGTGTTCTTTAAAAAAAAAAAAAATTCTAAATCTTACAAATAAATTAAATGTTCATAAACCAAATAGTTATGCAAATTTCAGTCTGGCGTGAACATCAATGTTTTAGTTATTACAATTTTCCATATCTAAACACTCAGCAGTGACATTATGAAAGATATTGAATACCATGGGTAAATCTATACAGTGGCGAAAAGTATTTTGTTGATTCGTACTCTGAATAATCGGATTAAAAAAAAAAAGCACAGGTACTTAGCCCGGTCTGTATACTTGAAGAAAGATTACTGCTATTGAAAAGCAAGACATTTTGTATAGCTACATGTATAGAGTAACTTCTCTCTATAGAGTCTGCCAAATCACTGTGAAAAGTACATTTGGAACACAAAGCTGTTTTTAAAGGTTTAATGGCAAGGGAAGGGTAATAGATTTCAGTACAGTAAATCATTTTGATTTTTTAAAATATTTTTTTAAAACAAAAAAGCAACAGCAAGAAAGCAAACAAACTGTGACTTGCTTCTTAGCAAAGAACATGTAACCAGGGACAGGTCCGAGATGTAAGTGTAAGAAGGAAGAGAAAAGTAAGAGGATAGACAGCACAATGATTTATGCATGTCCAATTTCTCAGTCAACTCGGGCTCCTAGGTTCAGCAAAGTTCCAGCGAAGCAGAGACATAGTACATGTATTCCCATGGCAGGCCAATCCATTGTAATGTCCTCTTTGAGAACATGCACGGTAAGAGTAGGAGTAAGATAACAAAAAGCTTCTTGAGATGCAAGGGGGTATTGAATGCAGGAAACATTACAAAAGGTTTTAATGGTTTCTCTCAGGAGAGTTACGTTGCTTTGAAAGATTGAATGGACAAAAGGTGTCAAAATATTGGAGAAAGCTTAATGTACAGTATGTTGGAAATGTTTAAAGAAGGGGTTTTATGACCCCTTACTTATACTAGACTTGTATGTGGGCCGAAATAGTATTCTCTCTCTCTAAATACTTTTGAAAAAAGACCTCATTGCTTACTCTCTCGTTGTCAAAATGAAGAGCTAGGTAATATGACTCATATAGGAGGGATACTTGTACATTTTTTAAATGTAGCTTATTAAATACTCATTGTTATTCAGCTTTGTTTTGCAATAAGATTGGGTTAAAGTACTGTTTACATGTAAGTGTGGAAATAGAATTAATTCCATATTGTCAACCTCTAGCATTTTGTATAAAAATGAGCCTTTTCTGATTCCTTATAATATCTAGGGAAATTTTGTTTGCCTAGGTACTAAAGGAGAAGAAATACATACATGTACGAAGGTTCATGTATGAGACTCAGAAGAATTCAGAGAGCCGGCCTAGATTTTACCTGGGCTAACAATTTCCCTTACTGATCAACTGACAAGTTAAATTAAAAGCTTTACTGTATCTCCAGGATGTCAATCTTGCATGAAAGAATATATTGGAAATTGACAAAAAATGAATGATATAACGGTTGAATCCTTATTCTGAAGTAATTTATTTCATTGTATATGTTTAGCATTGAGGTCCCTTCTTCCTAGTTTGAGCAATAGTATACAGACACGTTCACCACAGAGGCATACAGTAATGTGATTCTACCTCAAACCATACATGTATATCCCAAGAGATGAATAGTAATGCAGTTTATGAAATACAGGCATATTCATGTGCTGAATGCTCACAGTGCAAATCATAATACATGTATGTTTGCATTTTGGGACTATACACTTCTATACTTTTGTACTATTATTCTTGTGTGAGCATTGAAGGGGAAATGTGATGCACATACAGGGTTATACTACAAACATACATAATTTACCCAAGGGGGTCTCTAGGTACTGTGGAAAGCTGGGGAATGTTGACTACGGAAGTAGGTTGAAGATGCATGGGGCACCCGCTCTTGTTTGACTGCTAATGCATGGACTGAAAGAAAAGTCAGGAATGATCAACTTCAACTTTATACTTCATCACTATTTTTAATGTAGATTTTCAAAAAGTACAGTATTGGTGCTCCAAGTACTACTCTATATACCAGGGATTCTCAAATTCCGGACCGTAGGGCATGCCAATCCGAACTGCTTGATTGAAGTTGAACAGAGTCTCTAATTTCCTTATTAAGAAAAATACAGCATTTTGAAAGTGTCAAGGAATTTTTAAAGGAAATTACAGAAAAAATCTAGAGAAATCAAAATGAATGTACCGGTAAGGAAAAATAAAATTTTGAATTATCTAAATTGCTAAAAATTTAAGGAACTTCATGGGGTATGTACACTACAGTATGTATGCCCCCTATACTCCTGTCAAAGGCTTTGCCCATGGACCCCATATGTAAAGATAGAAGTGGCTCCAAAGACAACCTTTTGATGTATAAAAATTGTCCTCAGGAGGGATTGTGTGTTTCAGACTGATTACTGTTTTTTTTTCCTTCAAATCAGGCCTATAGTTTGTTGGCCTAAATGTAAGTTTAAGTTCAGAATTGACAATTGGCCATCATAAAGGTCATTATCTGGTTATTTACCAAATGACAGAAAATGACCTGAATAGAAGTTAATAGGATTCACCAGATATTGAATGACTCTTCTCAATATCTTTTATGGAATTCAAAGCCCTGCACTAACACAGGCGCGGATCCAGGATTTTCCAATAGGGGGGGCCGGAAATTCGAAATTCGCGCAGACCGTTATTTAAACTTACCAATACTGACAAGGTCATATTAGAAGCACTGTACTTTAATAGTGTACTGGTACCTACAAACGGGCACCATTATTTTGGAAAGGGGACATGCTCACGTCACATCTCTTGTCCGATATCAACATTCCCCGTTTTCAAGTTATGCTCGCGCGCAATTTTTTTGACATTTCCATCAGTGGGGGCTGAAGCCTCTTGCTCCAATATCTGTTTCCTGGTTTAATAATTTGGCGAGCGAGCGAAGCGAGTGAGCGGAAATTTGAGCTTATGTATATATGTTGTGAAAGTGTTAATCGTCACCAAAATATACGAGATAAGATATAACAAATGCATATTGGTATTTTTTAAATTTTCGGGGAAAGAGAGGCTGCAACCCCATCCCGCATTAAACTGCAGGTGTTTTGAAATCAAATCAGACTCCCCAAAAAAGTATAAACCAAAACGCACGAATCCAGTTTCAAAAATCCAAAAAATGTCAGCTTCAGAGGGGGGCACATCACCCCTCAGACTCCCTCTAAAAGTATTAACCAAATCGCACGAATCCAGGTAAAAAAAATTCAGCTTCAGAGCTAGAGAGGAACCCCCCCCCCCTCCCCACACACCATGGGTGTCGATCCTCACGTAATACTTATTCATCAGGGGGGGGGGGGTGAATGAATAGATCATCCCCCCCTGATGAATAGGTATCAGTGACAGATCGACACCCATGCCACACACACACACACATACAGACACCCCCTGTGCGCGCAAGCGCGAAATTAACGCTGGCGCTAATGCGTAAGCAGGGGCGGCGGAGCTATTTCCAAAGTGGAAAGCACCAACAAAAAAGGGCACCTACAAAGCGAAATCTCAAAGCGAAAATATACATTTTTTTAGACATTGGTATATACCCTTTCATTGTGATTCCATTATCAGGGACGATTTCAATATTTGTTTTTCTTTATAAAAGATATTGCTTAAGCATCACACTTTCGGCTGGGTGTGATTGTCTGAATATTTATTTGCGAGCGAGCAAAGCGAGCGAGAACAAAATGTAAGATCTGTGAGGTCGCAGAGTGAAAAATTACATCTTATAAAGAGGAAAAAAACAAATCATGATGGGGTTATAAGCATCACGGAAGACTGAAAAAACTTTGTTTTAAAGTGACATATAATTGTATCATCTATAAATGCGAAGGAGCGAGCGAGCTTTAGGGGAAATTACTCTTAGTCGCTTTAAATTAGGTGCAAGACTAATGATGAGCAAGTTAGGGGGGCACGTGCCCCCCCCCCCCCCCCCCCCCCCCCCCGTGCCCCCCATGGCTACGTGCCTGATGATGAGAGGTTAAGGGGACACTTATCGAAAGGGATAAAGACACTTATTAGGAAAGAAAAGGAGCATGTGTCAAGGTACAAAGAGTAATTATCAAAGATTCAAACGGGGCACTTCTTACACCTGAAAGGAGGCACTCACCAGAAATGAGATAGGGCACTTATGAGTATGGGAAATGGGCATTTGTCGACGGAAAAGGGGCATCCATCGGAAATTGATTTATCAGAGGTGAAAAGGGGCATTTATGAAAAGGGGATAGGTCCCTTATTAGAAAGGAAAAGGGAACGATTCAAAATAAAAGGGCAGTTAGCAAAGGTGAAAATGGGCACCCATCATAGATGAAAAGAGTACTTATCAGGAGGGGAAGGGGTACTTTTCAAAGTAAAACGAGCATCTCTCAGATTTGAATAGGGGCAATTATCGGAGGTGAAGAGAGCACTGAAGTGAAAAGAATTAACTTCTCATATATGAAAATGGTCATTTACCAGAGATGAAAAGGGACACTTTTTATTTATGAAGGGCCTCATTTTTCTAAATAGCCCTTATCAGATAGGAAAGGGGGCACATGTGTTGATGAAATGTGCGCTTATCCGAGTTAAAAAGGGGAAGGGGCACTTCTTAACAAAGTAAAAGTGGCCCTTTGGGGGGTGCTTGAAGAGTGGGGCGAACTTTGCCCCCTACCCCTGCCACCCGCCCCATCATCTGAAAATCCAAAATGATGTTGTAGGGGCCGGGCGCGGCTTTATCATGAGTGTTTTTATGTGAACCTCTTTTTAAAAAATATATTATGCTGGATTCCGACCCAGATTGCACACTCTAAAATGAAAGTTTGATCATCCCCAATACGCTTGCAGTTCACGTATGCACCCCTTCCTCCTAATCCATCGTTACCGTCACTGCCATTTACGTATGGCCGGCCGGTGTCGTGGCGTTATGTGTCTTAGCGAATTCACGTCTGTACAGATGCATATCGCCAGGCGATTCGCCGCATTCCACCGGCGATATGCGTCTCCTAGATGGGC